ACGTTCGGAAGTGGGTTGTGACCTTTGACCGATGACATCAGAGGTCATCATAGAAGTTGGTTGACTAGTTAAAGGTTAAAAAATTAGTTCACCCAAAACTGACCATTCTGTCTCATTTACTCAGCCTCATGTCGTTCCAAACCTGTATGGTGTGAAACACAAAAGTAGATATTTTGAGAAATGTGTCTGAAGTTTGTGGTTCATACAGTCAAAGTCAATGGGGTCCAACGTTGTTTGTTTCCCAGTGTTCTTCAAAATACCTTCGGAAGAAAGAAAGTCATCCATGTTTGGAACCACATGACTCAGAGTAAATGACCGATTGTTTTCTCTGTGTTGTGTTGAGCTGGTTATCTGTTCACTCACCTGCACTAGTTAGTTTAACTGTGAGTATGGAGCACCGGTTTCTGGATGCACAGCAGATGAACGTCACTCTTCATCCACAGATCTGGTCTGGTTCATCTGAGCTCCTCTGGCAGGGAAACTAGTGCCCGAAGCCAATCGGAGACCGATATTAGCGCTAAAGCGGAGCGCTCCATCTGTCAGTGTCCCGCTTCAGCTCTGAGTTTGTGTGCTCATGTGTCACTGTGTGCATCATGGGAGTTTAATGGCTGTGAATCAGAATCAACCGGTTTCTGTCGTCAGTTCTCCAGAGCCAGACGTGTCCAGACGTAACAGAGAACGAAAAACACGAACGACAGTCATTTCAAATGTTGTGCAAATCAGTGCAATCACAGCTGATTTAGGTGCCAAGACCAGAATGTCTATAATAAAAAAAAGTCTGAACTCTAAAAATGTGTTTTTATGAGATGTTTATTAAGTTATAACGGGATAAAACATGCACTAGTGACAGTCTGTCCTTGAGCTGCGTTAAATTTAGAAGAGTTTGAGAGAAATACTGAAAACTGATCTAATCAACCCTAGAGTAATCAATACGTTTGATTTCATTTGGTGCTATTTCAGTATGTTTGATACTATTTCAATATTTTAATAATATTTCAATAGGTTTGATAAAATTTCAGTACTTTTGATACTATTTCAGTATTTTGATACTATTTTATTACTTTTGATAATATTTCTATACTTTTGGTACTATTTCAGTATTTTAATATTTCAGCATTTTGATACTATTTCAGTATTTTTATAGCATTTAAATACTTCTGATACTATTTCAGTACTTTTGATACTATTTAGATACATTTGATACTATTTCAGTACTTTTGATACTATTTCGATGTTTGATACCATTTCTTTAATTTTAATAATATTTCAGTAAATTTGATGCTATTTCAGTACACTTGATGCTGTATCAGTACATTTGATACCATTTCAGTACTTTTGATACTATTTCAGTACTTTTAATACCATTTCAGTTATTTTGATACTATTTCAGTACTTTTGATATTTCAGTACTTTTGATTTTTTCAGTACTTTTGATACTATTTCAGTTATTTTTATATTATTTCAGTACTTTTGATAATATTTCAGTACTTTTGATACTATTTCAGTTATTTTGATACCATTTCAGTACTTTTGATACTATTTCAGTTATTTTTATATTATTTCAGTACTTTTGATAATATTTCAGTACTTTTGATACTATTTCAGTTATTTTGATACCATTTCAGTACTTTTGATACTATTTCAGTTATTTTTATATTATTTCAGTACTTTTGATAATATTTCAGTACTTTTGATACTATTTCAGTTATTTTGATACCATTTCAGTACTTTTGATACTATTTCAGTTATTTTTATATTATTTCAGTACTTTTGATAATATTTCAGTACTTTTGATACTATTTCAATGTTTGATACCATTTCTTTAATTTTGATAATATTTCAATGTTTGATACCATTTCTTTAATTTTGATAATATTTCAGTAAATTTGATGCTATTTCAGTACTTTTGATGCTATTTCAGTACACTTGATGCTATATCAGTACATTTGATACCATTTCAGTACTTTTGATACTATTTTAGTTATTCTTATACTATTTCAGTACTTTTGATGCTATTTCAGTACTTTTGATACCATTTCATTACTTTTGATACTGTTTCAATACTTTTGATACTACTACAATCCTTTTAATACTATTTGATGGTATTTCAGTACTTTTGATGCTATTTCAGTACTTTTGATACTACTACAATCCTTTTAATACTATTTATTTTGATGGTATTTCAGTACTTTTCCCCAGTTTCCTCCAATGTAAGTGTTTCATTCAGAGGAATGAGCCGCGTTGAGTGACATGATCACAGGCTCAACCAATCACTGCACTTTATCTTGGGGTTTGGATGTCGTGATTCATTAGGCACACAGCAGCGTGGAGATGCTCGTCAGGAAAGATCTCGTTAGAGAGCTGCTGATTAACACAGCTCTCATTAGTGTGTGATTCCCGCTGCGGTGTTTCTCAGATGGCTCACAGTTCTTCTGTGTGTATTGATGACTTATCGATCGCACAGCGTTTCCATTTTAGACTCTGGTAACCAATGGAAACACACTTTGTCTTGTCAGAATGATTTCCTGTGAAGCTGGTGTGAGTTTTTGGAGGATCACGCTCTGACTCTTCAGCATCATTATCTTCTGGAGATTTTCTCTTTGCCTCACTGTGTCTGTATTTAAAGCAATAGTTCAGCCAGAAATTAAAATGTGCTCACTCTCAGGTCATACAAGATTAGTAGGATGAGTTTGTTTCTTCATCAGGTTTGTAGAAATGTAGCACTGCATCAGTGTCTCAGCAATGGATGCTCTGCAGTGAATGGGTGCCGTCAGAATGAGAGTCCAAACAGCTGATAAAAACATCACAATAATCCACAAGTAATCCACAGCACTCCAGTCCATCAGTTAACATCTGGAGAAGACAAAAGCTGAAACTAATCCATCAAGACATTTGTAACTATTTGTATGTTAACTGATGGACTGGAGTGCTGTGGATTACTTGTGGATTATTGTGATGTTTTTATCAGCTGTTTGGACTCTCATTCTGACGGCACCCATTCACTTAAAGCTGTTTTGAAACCATGTTTTTGTGTAAAGGACTATATATAAAAAAATTGGCCTACTGAAGGATATTGAGCTCTGATGATGTAAATGACATTCCTGTGAAGACTGCTATTATTTTTATTATTTGATTATTTTCAGGTGACGGATGAAATGGGAAGTTAATCATTGATGTTTGTGTGTGTGTTGTGTTTCAGTCACGGCTCTGCTGAGGAAGCTGAAGCAGCAGTCACGAGAGAGTGTGGAGGACAAGAGACCCCGTCTGCTCAAAGCACTGAAAGAGGTAAAGCAGCAGGCCACTCACACACACACACACATACTCACACACACACAGAGACACACACACACACACACACTCTCTCACACACACTCACTCTCACACTCACAAGTCCCCACCAGAATAGAAAAACAGGTACACACACACACACACACACACACA